TAAATAAAGATATTTTCTAAAAAAATGGTCCTGGGCCTGATCACCATCTCCCCTGTAGCAGGTCCAGCAGCGCTGGGCACAGACAGCGCCAGGATACGTACAAGGTCACTTCACCCCTGTTTAGTGTCTTCTCGATTATTTACCCTTATAAATCCACATAGATATATAAACTTTACATAAATGCATAAAAGTGACCAAACGCAGGTGCTGCGTGGGTCAGAGGGAGAGAGAACGGGGGTGCCAGCCGTTTCCTTATGGATATTTGTTCAGTCGCCCCCACTCCCCTCATTCCCATTCCTCCCTGGCCCAAGACCCGCCCCATCAAATCGCTCCAAGATCACTCGGTTCTGTGACCCTCCATGTATTCTCTGTCCCCACTTAATGAGAGAGAGAGAGAGAGAGAGAGAGAGAGAGAGAGAGAGAGAGAGAGAGAGAGATACATGACGGTACAGTCACCCTCTGATTTGCAAATGGGATCCTGTTCTACCGCCAGCTTTCCAGGGGGACATTGGGAGCCCTCCGAGGGCACACGGCAGGCGGTCCTCGGGGGGATGACCGTGATGGTCACCCTGTGGATGAGCTCCTCTCTTTGCTCCCACTTCTGCCCATCAGAACAACACAGCGACCAACACGAGGTCAGCTGGCGCTCAGGACCTTCCCTCCCAGACCCACAGCCAAACGCCTGGCAGGCCCCTCCAACAGGGCCGCCGGCTGGCCTGGCAGAAGGGTCGTGAATGACACCAGATCCCATGTGTGAAAGACGTCTCACAGGCCGCAGACGCTCTGTGTCAAAGTCGAGCATCCACGCGGCGGTGGCCAGGTTCTCTGGCCAGTGCGGTGGACAGCCCGCCCGGGCAGAGGGCGGCTCAGTGGCGTCGTTAACAACCCATTGATCCAATCACATTTCTTTCTGTTCCACTTCAGAATTACAATCTCTCGTTCCCCTTGAAAGAGCGCAGATGGATTCCCAATGATCCTCGTAGGAAGAAGTAGCCGCCATCAGGACGTGCTTGATGGACCCCAACGCTCACCCCGCGGCGGCCCGCGATGAATTCATCTGGTGGACACGTCAGACCTCGCTCCTCCGTGGGAACCTGCCGTTTTCTCCAGCCTCTCAGTTTTTGCTGGCGAGATTCGGGGACGCAGCCGGACTTGGGTCGGCCCCAGGGACCTCCCGGTGCTGCCCCCAGCCCTGTGTTCCTGGCCTGTAGTAGCTACTCAATAAATAACTGTCAAATTGAAAAACACCCGGGGGATTGTGGACTGGGGCTCACGGCAGAGCCGTCTGGCGGAAGAAGTGGAATTTATCCAAATCATCTCTTTGCAGGATGGGCCAGAACGGGAGCCAGAATCTGAATCTCAACGTGACGCGTAAAATAGGCAGCAGGGTAGGATCAAGCCAAGATGCTGGGGGAAAGCTGAGGGCAAATCAGAGGAAAGACACACGTCCTAAATCCGTGACGGGAGACCAAGTGGCGCTCATTCACTCACCAGCGACTGTGTGCTGGAGGCCTGCTGTACCTACGCCAGGCGTGGGGGTAAGTTCAGGGACGTGGTGTGGAGAAGTCACGATTTCAGCCCTCGGTGGCTCCTGGTCTTGTGAGCACCCGTCATAACTGAGCCATGACAAGACACGCTCGAGCCACGGCCCAGGAGTTGAGAAAACATCACATCCCTCTCATTTTCTCATTTTCTCCAGAAAACCATTCCCTAAGTCCCCAGACAAGAGCCCTTGTGTCCCCCTCTGCCATGATCCTCAAACCCTAAATTTCACCCTCCATCCCATCTCTCTCTCCATCCATCTGAGGGAAGAGCTTTGGCACAGAAACAATCTGCTATTTCCTCACCTGTCACCTGGGTAGAGCGTCTGGTATGTAGTAGGTGCTTACTCAGTGTCTATTAAAGGAATCATGTGTCTGTGAACCGTTGCCTCCGTGAGATTTGGGGCCAACCTCTCCCTGCATCCCGCCATTCTCCAGAGGCCAGATCGCAGCCTCAGCATCCAGCAGGCTGCACGCCCCCCCCCAACATCCTGCCGGCATCCCCCCTTCTTTCCATCACCAGGGTGCGAGTCCATCTCACATTCACGGTCCCTCCCACCTGTTCCACCCATCTGTCGGACGGTCACTCTCTGCCACTTCAGAGCGACAGGGAGTTCTCTCTTCCTTTCCTCTGGGAAGCCCAGGGAAATTACCTCTGATGGATGTGATTTCTTCTTGGGGTCCTAAGGACAAAATGACAGCCAAACCCAGCCCCGGGTCACAACCCACTAGGAAGAGATCTGCTCAGCCTTTGTCTGCCAACCGCAGCAAAAAAAAAAAAAAAAGAATCTTGCCTAACCAGGACTTGGAACTGTCCGAATTTTTTTTTTTTTTTTGATGGTTAGCAGAGGAATAAAACCGAGAATCCCATTTATTTACTTCTTCTCTTATCACTTGAGAAAAGGGAACGTCTGGGTGAGCCTGTGTTGCTGCCCACTGTCCTTAAATTCCCCCAAAGAAATCGAGTCTCTCTGGGAAAGAGGAGCCTCTCCCAAGGCCTGAGAATTCGTATTCTGGGACTGAAGTCGGTGCCAGAAGTTAGGCAGAGATCCTCGGCCTGAGGATTTTTAGAGACGTCTTCTCTGTCGCTCCTATTCCTTGTCCTGAGAGTCCGTCCTGATTATCTGAGGTCCCTGGTTCTTGAAGTCCAGCTCAAATAAGTCGCACTGGATCCTGAGTAATGGGATCTTCCGACAGACAGCCACGTTCCAGCTCTAGGTTAAGTGAACGTCTCGGGTTCTCTCTGTTGGATGAGTACCCCGCGGTCTCCCAGGCATCTTGGATCCTCTGTGCCACTCCCTCTAAATCACACCAAATCCCGCCTCGGTACCTTCCCAGGGTCTATGGCACCGTGGGGAAAGAGAGACCTTTCCTGCCATGCAGCTCACAGACGCTTACCGTCTAGGGGAGGAAGCCGCCCACAGAAGGGTAATTGGATGGACAAGGGGAAGATGTTTCGAAGAAAGCCAATGTTAGATTCCTGAGTGCTGAGTCTGTGCCAGGCACGGGATTAAGAACTCACTTTTCACTCTCTGAGGCCCTACACAACCCAGCCCCCTCTTCCTACCTCAGGGCCTTTACACGTGCCTCTCCCTCTGCCAGGAATGCTCTTTCCTAGGTGCCTGCATGACTCATCCTGACATGCCTTATGTCTCCAGGGTCAATCCAGAGAGGTCCTCCCTCGCTGAGCTGCCCATTTCCCGCACCCACACATTCTCCATCAGGTTCCTTTATTGTCGTTTCTGCAGAACGCGCCACCATTTTAAATAGTCTGAATCGCTGTCTGTCTCCCAGGAATATTGCTCAGGGAGAGCAAGCAGCCTTGATCTGCCTACCATGACACCAGCTTGCCCGTCCATCCTCCCGGTGATAGAAGCTCAGTCAATATTTCCACAACTTTCTCTCTGAATCCTCCCCAAATAAAAATTGCCGCCATCTCCCCTTGCACATAAGGAAGTTGAGCGGGTGAGGCAGCTCCCCCGGTTTGCACAGGGAGCAGATGGGGGGTCAGGGTCCTGACCGAGCCTCCCTCCAGAGCCCATTCCCCATCCCTGCTCAACGCTGAGTGGGAAGAGATGACGCTTAATCGATTGTTGTCTGACTCCTGCTAATGAGAGATGCCTGAGCAGCTGTGACTGGAAAGATCTTTTCTGAGCCCGCAGTGGTGAGTGCGTCACACCAGCGGACGCGACTTTGAAATCCAATGCTGCCATGTCGGCGATGACCAGAAACGAAGAGAATTTTGGGAAAGCACCAGTTTCTGGGCTTCCCTGAGGCACCCGCCTCTTTGGGATCCTCCCAATAAGCAGATGAGGATCCGGTAGCAGAATGGGGGCTGCAGCGTCCGTCTGTCTGTCTAGGATGGTGGGAGAGGATGGATGGGGTGAATCCTGTATCGGATGAGGACCATGGGTCCCCACACCTTCTCGCCAAAGCGGCCACCCGCCCAGCACAGAAGCCAGCGCTCGGAGATCATGAAAGCAGCCCTGCGTCCCACCACGGCCATCCTTCCGGGACCTGCTCCCTTTATTCACTCAAGAACTTAGGTCCTTGTCCCCGTTTCTGTTAGTCTCCACCCCAGCCTCCACCTGGAGCTACATCTCCTCTCCAGTTGAGAGCCCAAGCCCCTTCCCATGAAGCACTTCACTTTTTAAATCTTGATCCTTAGGATTCCCCGAAAGAGATACCTGCTTGCCACAGGGCGTCTCCATCACCCTGGACGTGACCGACGACAGCAGCAGGGGGCAATTTGCTCCAACCCAGTCCCAAAGCCCCAACGCAAGAAGGTTCAGAGGAGAAATGACGGGTTGTGAGAGCCTTCACCCCGTCAGCAGTCTGATCCCCTGATAGGGACCCACTGAGTGGGAACAGGAGGGGTGGGTGTGGCTGGAGGAGGTGGGCGCTGGGGCGTGGCTTTGGGGTGTGTATCTGACGAGTCTGTGAGCTGCCTCCCGCTGCCACACACTCCACCGTGATGCTCAGCCTCAGCCGAGCCCCGAGAAATGGAGCCGGCCTTCTGTGGACGGAGACCTCTGAACCCGTGAGCCCTCAAATAAATCTCTCCCCTCGACAGTTTTTCCGGTCAGAGCCTTCACTCACAGCAGTGAAAAAAGCCAACTAAAACACAGCACGTGGGCCCTGAGCAGATCCCAAACTTGCCAGCACTTTGATCTTGGACTTTCCAGAACTATAAAGAATAGACTTTTGTTATTTATAAACGACCCCAATGGCGGTATTTTGTCATAGCTCTTGAGATGGACCACGGCACCACCCCGGTTCCACTTAAAATCATCTGTTAACCTCACAATATCTACTCTACCGAAAATACTATTCCCCCGCCCAGAAGAGAAGACCTTTATGGAGGTGACCCAGCAATGGGGATGTGCTTCCAGTTCTTGGGGCTCCAAGAACCAAGGCAGAAATTACCATCCAAAGGCAAAACTTGGGCCAGAACTTTATTCCTGTTTTTCCTCACTTTAAGCCTTTTTTATGAAGAGAGTCATAATGTTCCTCCATCTGCATGACACTTTCCATCTTTAAACATTAACTAATTAATTGACTGAAGTGGTACCTCGGGAGCGTTTATCATCTCTCCCATTAGCCAGAGAGCCGGGAAGCCGTCTAGAAAAGCTGCCTAAAGCTCAGCGGAGACTTCATCTTTCCGCTTCCCTTCCCTGAAATGTTTTTTTGTGTGTGTGTCTCTGTGTCTGAATGTGTGTGTCCTAGAGGAGAAAAAAAAATAAAGAAAAAATGAAATAAAATAAAAAGAGAGGATTTGACTCCCACCAACTGCTATAAAAAATAAATAAATAAATAAATAAAGACTACCTCTGGGAGACATGGGATTTCAATGGTGAAATAATCAGTCTTGGAAATGATCCTGTCCTCTAGGAAAAGAAAAAAAATAAATAAGTGGTTTAACAGCGATTGCCCTTCAAAACAATTACTAATTATAATGTCTATAAAGAAGAACGCCCTGGAGACCACCACTCCTCACGCAGCCAGGCAGATCTATAGGAAGGGATTAGCGGGCACGTCGGAAATCAGACCAGAGCGCTCTCGGGACCCCGCCAGAAGAGGGGTGGGCTCCAACTGGCTGATGTGCCTGGATTCAGAGCTTCGGGGGGATCGCCCCCTGGGGCCGGCCTTTCTCGGCAAATTGGCAAGATCAGTGCAGCAAGTCAGGACAGGACCCTTGGGAAAGGAGGACCCCTGTGTTCTGCCCAACCTCCCTTCCTCTCCACGGTCCCAGCCGTTTCCCCAGCCTCTTACCCTCCACCTCCAGCAGGTGGCGCAGTGCCCAGGACCGGTGCCTCCCCTCACTGTGGTCCTGAAGCTGACCAAGATGTCCAGGAAGGGGGACACCAAGTCCCGGAGGCCTTGAGTGTCAGATCCCCTCCGTCTGAAACAAAACGTGAGTCGGGGGAAGGTTTGGAGGAAAGGGGTCGAGGAGGCAGGGTGGGGTTGCTGTAGACAGACAGAGGGAAGCGTTCTGGCTTCAGACTCTCCATATCTCCCCTCTACAGACCCTGATGGGATCACCTCAGCTCTCGGATCCTCGGACCTGGGATCCTCCTCTGTAAAACGAACCAGGAAACGAGGCCTCCTCCGTCGATGAAGGAAGGAAGGAAGGGGGCACAGGATGCCTGCCGTCTCCGCACCGTGCACCACAGACGGCTGCAGACAAACAGAAGGGATTCACCAGCAGGTGCAAAGTGAGCTGGAAAGGCCCGAGGATTTGGTTCTCACCAGGACGACTTCCCTGGTCCCCCAAGTCCCCCTGTCTGTGCTACGAAGGGGGAAATGGCCACCACTGCGACCCAGTCCAACCGTGGACAGTGTTTCCTGCCTTCCCCCGCCCCCAGCTCAGTTTTGCACTCCAGGCTCACAGGAGGGAGGGACAGTGGTGCACACTGAGATCCCAGCTACTCGGGAGGCTGAGGCAGGAAGATCGTGAGCTCGTGAGCTGGGTTCTCGGTAAACACTGGTTTCCTTTCTCTTTCCAAAAATTCTGCTCTAGGCTCCTCTGGCGAATCATTCTAAGAGCACAGAAGAAAGAAACCGGGAAGGAGAGAACGGATCTTCCTGTTATCCGGGAGGTGCATGGAGCCTCTGCCATTCCGCAACCTGACCAAACTCAGAGTCCTCCTCCTGGCTCAAAGCATCCCCGACCTCCACAGAAAGATGAGCTCGTTTTAAAGAGAGTCTCCGGGTTTTACTCTTGGCAAACAACATTTTTCAAAGGGTCCTCCCTTGGGATAATTACATTTACTTCATTGATTGAGCCACCCTGGGGCGACGGGTTGGGGGGCGGGGGCGGGAGAGACCAGGCAGATGTGATTCTTCAGAGAGTTAATGGTCTGGGGCAGGAAAATTGTACAAAACTTATGACGAATTATGATAAAAGCTAGGAGATTGGGGTGCCATGAGGCAGAATAAATTAAGGTGAATCTGATTCTGTTCGGGGAGCCAGGAAAAAATGTCCCCGAGGAAAGAATGTCTACACGGAGACCTGAAGGATGCATAAAAATTAACCAAGGAAAGAGCAGGAGAGAAGAGCCAGTGGGCAGAGCTCGGTGTGGGCTAGGCCTTCCAGAAGCCAAGAGAATCCCAGCCTGGCTGGAGCATGGTGGAGGGAGGGAGCAGAAGTCCCTGGGCTTCACAATTCCAGCCTGCGGTCTGGGTGACCTTTTCCCTGAGGTTGGAATCTGCAGTTTGGCAATTAGCATTTCACGGAAAGGACGCCCTGGGGCAATGTGGGTCTACCTGGCTGCCCATCAGTTGTCCCCTCTGCAGAGATGAACCACGTGAGCCTTAGGTGAACTAGTGCTTGGAGGAGGGGATGTGACACCGTCCTCATCTTCAGTGTCCAGCATGCCACTCCTGAGAGCCCCATCAGCGCTTCCCCGTCCACATCCCCTCTCAGAGACCCTCCCCAGCCCACGCCTAGCAGAGGCGCCCACCCAGCCTCAGCCCAAGGAACTACAGTGGATAACGGTCTCCATCGGGCCAATCAGGTTCGCACACCCCCCAGGGGACCTGGTCTGAGGGTGTCAGCAGCTGGAGCTATAAGATCATGGAGGTGGAGGACCAGGAGAAAACTTGGGATCCTGATGGCAGATGCAGAGAGGAGAATGGAGCACATGTGCAGAGAGAGAGAGAGAGAGAGAGAGAGAGAGAGAGAGAGAGAGACACGCACGCAGGAGCTGATTAACAACCCTGCCCTCCCGCCCGCCCCCCCAGGGTCCAGCTGCACCTGTTGGATTTCTGGAGAACCTTCTGGGTCCTGACCGTGTGCGAGACTCCCTGTTCACCTCAGTTTCTTTGCATGAGTCTTTGCTCCTTGCAATTAAACAATCACGGCCTAAGAGACTCCTCCGAATGAGACCTGAGGCTACCTGGATCAGACCTGAAAGGCAACGTCATCTCGCTAGCAGGGAGTCAGTCACGTCCACCGCTGTGCCCGCCGCCATCTCAAGGCCCTGGCACAGCCCAGGTCCTCTGCTCAGAAAGCTCTTCTGCCCACCGCTTTTTGCAGATGGGAGCCCCTTCCCATGCCGAACCCTGAAGTCTCCCTAAGGTAGACCCCAGCCTCCAGCTGTGAATCACGGGTTTAACCCAGCTGGCCTTAGCTCTCCATCGCTTGCCATCTGTCCAGTGGCTCCCACCATATCCAGGACCAATCCTCGCTCCTCCATTTCCTTCCCTCCACACTCCCTAGGACCTCCCTGTGGGCTTTGCTTCCCAGAGCAAATCCGTTCATTGCATGCCTTTTTGGGGGGGGGGCACATATTTTTTTTTAAATATTGGAGTAAATGAAAGTAAGTCAATCAGATCAAAAACAACTGAGATGTCGGTCGGTCCCAGCAGTGCTTTTATAAGGAGCGTATTTGGGTAATATCGATTCACCTTTTTCTACCCTTTAAAAATTTAAACACCTTCCCTCATTTGCTTTCTTTACTTTAGAATTTTCGGCAACCGACTTTCTTTTATGCACAGACCTCGCCTTCACTGGGAAGCTGATCAATAAGAAATTATATTTTTGCCAAGCTATTTCAAAGCAACGTAACCAACGTGTTTCTCTCCCATTCGTGGCGCTGTTGATGGCCGAGTGGAAACGGCTGGGACGGGGTCGCCACGCGGCCTTCCTGAGCCCTGGTTTCCCTAGACAGCACCGCGGGGCCCTTTCTCTACCGAGGTCCCCTTTCTCGGTCACGGGCCCCTCTGTCCCCCACAATCCTTTCTCCCAACATCATTGTTTCTGAGGAAGCTTGTGTTCGAGCATCAGCCCCAGAATTTAAATTGAAGCTGAGCCGGGCCCGAGCCCCCCCTGCAGACATGAGGGGACAGCAGGGCTGACATTAGCACCCGAGCTCAGGCCGACGTCCGCAGCCACTACATCCTCTCTGAATTTTTTATGTTGGCAGTGATCACTCTGATCTTGGTGAAGCTCACCCACCTCGTGCGTGGCCCCTAACCTGGAGTCTCCCTTTCACAAAATGTCACCTTGTACCGAACCAGAAAATCTAAATGAAAAGGAAGTTTCAAGAGGAACCAAGCGGCCATCTGCTCAACCGACTTGAAATACCATCGGGGTGAGGCTTCGAGGCACAGGGACAGTTGTGGGTCTGTTTTGTGGACACCCGTAGGTGGCTGGAGAGGAGGGCCAGGCTTCCTAAGGCAGAGTGGGTGGAGCGATGAGCGGCCCTGGCCCCTGCCTGTCACTGGTGCTTGGTAACACGGGGTGACCGACGGGCTGCCAGCCTGGATCAGGCGAGGGGTTTGCTGCTGCGACCACGAGTCTGGTGCTCTGTGAAGCTGTGCGGATCCTCTACTGGAAGGGAGATGTCGGTGCCCCTGGGGAAGTGGCTTCAGCCAGGGGGGGTGAATCGCTGAATCAAGGGCACGTCACCAGCAAGCAGACCCCTCCCCACAAAGCAGCAAGTCCTGTGGCCACGCCACCCAGAAGGACCAAGAGTCCATTCACGACTCACCCCACGGAGCCCAGAGTGAGCGAGACCTGTCCCCAGGGCCCCAGTCCTGGGCGCCCTAGTGATATCCCGCCCCTGCCCCGTGCAGATGGTGGGACAGACGTGGCCACATGCCAACGAGGACTGTGCGCTGGGGAGCGTGACCTGGCCACTCCATCCTGAGAACAGGGACGGGGGGAAGGAGTCGGTGTACGTATCGCTCCACAAAGTGACTGAGCCCCTGCTCCGCCTGGAGCCGTCGAGGCTGGGGGTGCGAATAAGAGCCCCACGCTCCTGGGGCGCTCGGACCTCCAGGGGACGGTCAAGAGCGGCGGTGAGGGCACTGGGTTGAGCCTGGAACTTTCTAGGTCTCCGCTCTGGCAGAGGTGAGTGCGTGAGCAGAGCGATTCCCAGGTCCGCTGGCCTCTTCCACGCCACCTGCCATAGAAGCCGAGTCCCGGGGAAGGCATGGAATGGACATGTGGCCTTCGCTGTCCTGGAGGAGGGACACCCCAGCCTGGCACCGTGCCTACAGCCACCTTCCCTGGCACAGAGCCCCCCGTGGACCCCAGAACCTGCCTGGCCTTGGCACAAGCCTGCTACGGCCATGTCCTCTCCCCTCCTCCCTCCTCCCTCCTCCCGGACAGTCCTCCTCACACCTCGGGAGTCAGCTCCCCCAGGAAGCTCCCCTGAATGCACAGACGGGTCAGCGCCTCGCTTCTGTGCACCCCAAGACCCCCGGGGCTCACCTGTGCCAGGAAACTGACCTCTGAGAAAGGAAATCAGTTCCCGGAAGCCAGGGAACGGGGTAAGTAGGATGGCGGGATGACGGGAAAGGAAACAGGAGCCTGCAGGGAGTGGACAGGGGTGTCCCCAGGCCAAGCCACAGTAGTGCCGACTGCCACAGGAAAGGGACAGTCAGTCAGAGACATATGGTGAGGTGCGGAAGACAGCATTACAAACGCCCAGTTCATCACAATGTTTCGCTGCCACTTATTTTTCTCACTTTTAGAAACATATCTGATTATCACAACTATGAAGTAAGGAGGAGACATCCATCCGATCGAAGAAGAAACCAAGATACTCAGAGACATCAGGTGAGCTGCCCAAGGTCACACAGCACGAAGATGCCAGGGCAGCAGAGCGGAGTGGTTAAGATCAGCCAAACAGCTCTCCACCCCCGGCCCCGAGACCCTGCCCAAGAACTTGACTTCTCTACCTTCTCCACTCCATAAAGAGGAGTCAAAATGTCCACTTGGCAGAGTCACTGGGTGACCTCAGCTGGTCTTCAGTGCCCATGACAACAAACCCATTTGTCACCTGTTGTCCTGGCATCATCCGCAAAACTCCGTGGGTGGAACTCGGCGCCCAGAGGGCTCCAGCAACCCCAGAGCTCCCTGTGAAACGCAGCCGGCAACAGAGGTCTGGAACCCAGGGTTCCAGTGCCCGTCCCCTCCCTAAAGAAGCCACCGGCTCCCCCTTTCCTGTCTACGATGGCAGGAAACCCTGCCGGGGGCTGGCCTCCTGCAACGGTTGGGGAACTAATTAGCTGTGCCTTCCCCAAAGGCCAGAGTTGGCTGCTGAGATATTTAAAGCGCTTCTTACGGCTCAAAGTAAATATCACAATGGAGATGTCACAACAGCCGTGGGTTCTCACAGTGACACGGGGAGGAGGGGACGGTCACAGATGTAAAGGGATCCATCAGAAACCGTCTCCAGGTAGCACCTCTGGGGTCTGGTCCCATGACAGTCAGGTTGCTTCGAGGTTCTTTAAGATTTTTTTTTTTTTTTGATAAGTCTGTTTGCCTCCTTGGAGGCCTTGAGGGGGCTGTCATTAGCAGGAATGAAGAACTGTTCTCAAAAAGGAGGAAAAAACCACACACACACACACACACACACACACACACACTTGCATTTTTTTTAAAAACATCAGTTTTCATTTCCAGCCACGTCTACGTGAGTCTCATGCAGTTTCCAAGGGCTCGTAATGAGCAGATTCCTCCCGCTATGGGGCGGATTGGGCGCCCAGGGGACCCGGCGTTCTGGGTGGGGTGGTGGAGGGGTTTCTTGTCTTCCGCATCCTCTCAGCAACTCACTGAGGCAGGACTCATGGGCCCCACTCCACAGAGGGAGCCATGGAGACCTGGGGGCCCTGCCTGCCGCCCGGAGGTGGACGGAACACAGACAGGATTCGTTTTTCTTTGCTGCGCATCCCCTGGGTTCTCCACCCCGTCCGGGCTGAGCACCGGCGTCATCAGGCAAGGCAGCAAACGCAGTCTTACGAACTGGAGTTCGGGGCTGGTATAGAGCCAGGAAGGAGAAAGCTCCCAGAGCAGCAGTTCTGATGGTTCCCCTGCCCCTGGCCGACCTGGAGAAGCCCCTTGCCCACGGCCATCCCTGCCCTCTCGGCCATCACTTCTATTGCCCAGATCCATCTCATGCCACCGTGCCTTGGCAAACACTGTTCTTTCTCCCAAATTCTCTTCCTCCACCATCAGCCTGGTGAGCTCCTCTTCACCCTTCAAAACCCGGCTGGAACAGCATCCTTAGGAAGAAGCCCTTCATCCCTCGCTACCCCAGCACCCTGCGGAACTCCTGCTAGCCCTCTCCCCCCCCCACACAGGCTTCTGTTGGTATAATTATCACAATGCCTGGGGGTCTGTTCCCGGGGTTGGGAGGCGGGTGGGACTGCTGCAGGGACTGCCCACGCCCAGCCCAGGGCCTGAGTCATAACCAGCACCTGATTGAACTGAATTGAAAAGGAGACCTGGAAGGAAGGAGAGCTGTGAGCGTCTGCTACTGTGCCGCCAGCCACGCCACGCTTTCCTAGGACAGATGACAGGCCTGGCCCAGGGGCAAGACGGCCGCACGGGGGATGGATGCCTCCTGGACATCGCCAGGCGTCTCATCTGATAAATCCTGGCCTTGCCGACAATTTCATCTTTCAGAAGACAGAGGAGGTGACAGAGGAGTCGGTTACTCGGCACTCAATCCTGCAACTGGGAAACACCAGGGGAGGAGGAAGCGGTGGAACGCGCGGGAGAAAAAAATAATAAGGGTACGTGCGGAATCTTAATGACAGTGCGAGGAAATGAGCCTTCGTTAAACACCTGCTGGATGCTACCTGCTTTGCATATGTTACTACATTTGATTCTCCCGTGCATACCCCTAGGAAGGTGGGAGTAAATGGCTTCAAACTGGAAAATACAGAAAGGTCAAGTAACTTGTACAAAGCTACAGGTCTGTCTGTCTGCAGACCTCAAGTTGTAACCTCCCACCGTGCCGCTGGGCAAAAGCAGGGCAATTGCCCAGCTGACAGCCTGGACTTGATGCAAAAGTAAGGGTAATAAGTATGGGTCAGGTAGTGCTTCAGTAACAAAACACACTCTCCAAAAATCACAGTGATATGATATAGCGGAAGTTTTCCTCTGAGCCCCAGCAGTTTTCTGAGACTTGCAGCCACCAACCTGCATGTGCTGACTCTGGGGGCTCCCCTCCAGCTCATGAGCCTCCATCTCAATGGATGCTTCAGGGGCTGGAGACATAGCTCAGTTGGTAGAGTCTTGCCTTGCATGCACAAGGTCCTATGTTCCATCCCCAGCACCACCAAAAAAAAAAAAAGTCAGTGGTTGCTTCAGGGATAGCTTCAGCCAGAGAAAAAAGCCCCACAGAATCTCAACACCTGTGGTTTAATGCTGAGCACCAAAACTCCGACCACAGCCACTTTAGGAGTGGAGAAAGAGAGCTTCCATATGCCACAAGGAGTGCTTGCCCAACAGACCCTGCCTCTGCATCCTACCAACAGAGAGAGGAGAAAACGTGAAAATAAAAATTGACAAGCACATAGAAAAGCCCCCATAGAGCAGGGGGGATTTGAACATGGGAGGTGATCTTACAAACACGGATCGCTTGCATGTGAAGGTGGTCAGTGCCGTGAACAGGGTCCTGTGGTCACAGCTCAGAAGGAAATAGTGCACAGAATGAGTGGGAGGCCGCCGCCTCTTCTGGCTGCTGTGACAAAAAACACTGTAGAAGGTCGTGGAACCTTCCATGATACCAGAAGCTAGAAACCCAGGGTCCGGGTGCCGGCTGGGTCAGGTTCTGGGGGGGGGGGGTCTTTCTCCTGTTTCCACACAGCAGATAGAGGGAGCTCTGGTCTCTTTCTCTTCTCATAGGGACACTAATCCCTCTGTGGGGACTCCACCCTCATCCTCATCTACACCTAGTTCTCTCCCAAATGCTCCAGCTCCTTCACCATCCCTGGGGGGTGGGGGGGGGGGCAAGGGGTTGGGCATAAAAACTCAGGGAGGACACAAGCGTGCATCCGTAATGGAGAGGCTGGAAAACGTGTGTGTCCCTTTCATCCTTAGCATTCAGTCCCCTCCTAATAACAAGACAGGCCTCCGACACCATGTGTGGGACCAGCCAGGGCCAATGGTCTTACTGAAAAGACGGTGAGAAGTGGCCGGAAGGTGGGGTGCAGGTAAAAATGGCGTTAACGATGGAAGCGGGATTGTCTGATGGAAAAGCCCGCAGCCGCGTGGTCTTGGGCAGTTCCAGGACGCACACTCTGCCCTGGCGCCTTACTTAATTTCCCACGGGCGCTTAGGATCTGTTCATTAAAAATATAGATACTTATTGAGTTTGTTTATGGTCTGGCCTCTTCCCCGGTACTAGAAAATTCTTCCAGATTTAGAAGAATCCAAAGCCTAGAAAAATACCTGGCAGAGAGGTATTACATCTGCAGGGACATTGCCTTTCCTGTCGTCGATCCGTTGCTTATGAACTCGACCTTGAGGCAATGGGATATGCTTTGTGTCCAAATTCAGGATCTCCTTCCCCTGCTAACCTTGTATTCGGAGCCTTCGAGATTCCACAACAAAACCTCCCCAAGGGTCCACTGTCAAAGGGCAGCCTCCTCTTCCCAGGCCGCCCTGCAAAGACCCTCCCCAGCACCAGCACCGTAGCTGCCCACCCCCTCACCCTCTAGAGGCTTCGAAACCACTTGAACATCAATTTGTCAGGGTGGCGGTGGGGGGGGATGTCACCAGCCTCCAAGTGGCCAATAAGAGAGTGGGGACAAGTCTCCATAGGGTTGTGTTTCTCAGCCGTGGGAGCGAGGTGTGGCTGTAAATGACAACCTGCTTTTACTCCTTCTGTACCCCTTCAGTGTCCCAGTGGGGGAGCAGCGTCTCCACGGAAAGTGGAATCCACTCGTGTGATTCGGTGTCATCAATAATAAATAATATGTGAGCTCGTGACGGGGCTCCTACAAGGGTGCTTGAACTCAGTGAAGAAGAAATGGTTTAGGAGTGATTAAGACATCTGAATTCCTCAGGCAGCCGTCTTCGGGTATGTGTGTGTGTGTGTGTGTGTTTGTGTACAATTTCTAAATTAAATTAAATCTCGATTAGCATGTGTTAATCGTACATATTAATAGGATGTTCCTCGGACAACTTTTGATCCCTTTTGCAACCCAGACACAAAACGTGGGGGCCGCTTTATCATCAGGTCCTATTTGGCTGAAAACAGCAAAATCCCTGTGGCGGTAAAGTTAAGTAGCCAGCGACAAATTATCTAGCGTGTGCTCCTTCCCTTCTCTCCAGGAAAAGGGGGCTCCCGGAGAGGGGACTGGGCCTTCATAATAGCAGACCCAGTAATGAAAACCCTAAATATGCCGTTCCGTTTTATATCCACGGCGAAGGCAAGAGAAATTGCATTGGCCCCATTTTTTTCAGAAAGAAAACTGAGGCTGGGAGAGGTTCAGATCAATGCCCAAGTCCACGCAGTGAGCAGCTGAAGGAGCCAGAAGTCACATCGGTGTCTGCTCCTGTGTTCAGGATGGTGATCAGGAAACAAAGGAACCCAGGCGCTGGCTGACCTGCTGCTTCTCAGTCCCTGAAGAGGGCGCTCTGAACCCACCGACGCCAGGCCAAGGGGCAGGTTCAGTTCCGCAGAGCTGCTCGCTTCATTTGCATACCGATCTGGGTCCCCATGACCCGACCCCATTGAAGGCATTCCACTGAATCCATGCCTCCAAAATCCCTCGTTGGCAACCAAAGAAGGGATCGCTCCACCCACCTGACCTTGGGACATGCTTACCCTTCATCTCAAAGCTCACCCAGATGGGGAGAAGTCCCTCCAGTCCGAGACTGGGAAACTGAAAGCCACCAACTTAACACAAGGAGAGAGGAGGAGAGGCAGAAGGCGGGCGAAGAACTTGCAAAAACCCAGATTGCACAGGACCAGGGGAGCTTTGCCTCTCCCACTCTCCTACAGAACAGCCTCAGTCTTTCAACCCGAGAGTCGGGTTTGGCATAAGCCAAACACCTTCTCCACAGGCTGCTCTGCTAAGCCTGGGTCATTGAAATGATGGGCAATCGGGACGCAAAAAAGCAAAGGGTCACGGTTCAGAAGTCGGCGGATCTGGGTCTGCACGGGGCCCTCAGCACACCTGCTGCAGGACCTAATGCTCCAAGCCTCAACCTCTCCACCTCTAGAAAGGCTTCAGCGTGTCGTCCCCTCTCATCAGGCTGTGAAGCTA